TGCGTGTGTCTGTGTGTGCGTGTGTCTGTGTGTGCGTGTGTCTGTGTGTGCGTGTGTGCGTGTGTCTGTGTGTGCGTGTTGCTGCCAGTCGTCTGTTATGATGACCTCCGCTGCGGTTGACGTGTTGTCTCCAGCCTATGTAGACGCTGTGACAGATGCGGTTAACTCACACAGCTCCTTTTATCTCTCCTCCTCCTCTCTTCCTCTCTTCCTCTGCCCCCTTACCAACTGAAGTGGCGAATCTGGTCCTGTACCATTTTCCCAAAGAACGCGTTTTCACATCTCTTCGCGCTCTTCACCAGCCTGATGTTGACCAGGTCTCACAACGGTGGGCCGATCTTTTGCGACCCGTCGTACTGGTCTCTCCATAGGATGGGGTGGGTGGCTGGGAGATGTTGGGAGAGTTATTAAGTGCTCTGTGTTCGCTTTTTTTTTTTTGCCGAGACACGCCCGTTAGGTCTGGGTGGCGCTAAGAATGGCGCGCGCTCGCTGATGTACATCTGAACGTATGATTTTTAAAAAAAAAAAAAAAAAAAGCTCACAACAACACTAGGAGCTTTCAAGCACCGATTAACTTAATGTCTCCAGTGAGTGAACCACAAAAGGTTAAAAAGATAAAGCAGTAGACAAGATCCTTCTGCTGACGTATCAAGACATTAGACATCACTAGACAGAAATAGCAGTGTTCCTGTCTGCTCAGCGTCTCTGGAGCAACGGTCCAAATTAAAATGGTCTGGATTTTCCTCTTGCCTGTTGCAGATGGAGCAGAGGGTTGAGGTTGTCGGGGAGATCCTGCCGGAGGACTCAGCCAAACCATGTGGCACATACAGTATTCGCCCAAACCAGCGTACCAGATAAGCTCTGATATCTGTGGCCCCTGAAAGTGGTTAGTGGCAGTGACCTCTGACATCATTTTTTTGCATGTTCACTACAACTCAGTGTTTTTCTTCTATGATCATGGCCACCTTCATGCCAAAAAACACACCTGACATGTAAGGCACTTGAGGAAAAAGCTTACAGGAAAATTATGCAACTGTTACATGCATTTTACATTTTACATATGGCTTTAGTAGGAAATACATGTTTATTGCTTGATGTTTTTTTTAATAAAATGTATATTGCTTTTATGTTATTCTAATGAAGGATATGTATGATCTCACCACAATTAGCTGGTTTAAATACACATGAGAAAAGGCATGTTATGTTCTCAGAATACAAAGTGAATGTACCAAATGAAACCTTTTCAAAATACTCATTGTAGCTATGAGGAACTATACAAACGAACTATACAAACGAGAGGAGGCCATTCGGCCCCATGTGGAACCACTGTCCACGATTCAGTTCATTCAAAGAATTATGCATAAAAACTAATACTGACAAAACATAAATTTAATATGAATTGTTCAATATAGAAGCTACGATTGACAAAACAGAAATTTAATGTCTTATATGAATACAAGACATATATGACTAATATACAAACATTTAATATGGACTACACATGAATGTAGGACTTATATGTTTGACAGTACTGACACATCGAGTTAATATGAATTTATTTCATATTATTTATTTTGAGTGTCATATAGAGCTTATATGACTTGAGTAAAACACCTATATAAGAGCCATATGTTATTTTTAAAAAGGTTTTCCACATGGCTGCGCATATCGCAGATATGTAGTCAAGCTGGGGGCCTTATATCCACTCCCACAAAGCCGGCAGCGATCAGCTCATGCGACTGGTCTGAGAATCATCTTCACATGGGCGTCATCATATGCTCGCAAATGATCTGATCTTCAGGATGTCCAAACGGCAAAGGGCCACCCACGTGCCGGATCGGTGGAAATCAGCGCAGGCCGGGCTGCCTTGCCCTGAAGTCACATGACATCTGTTAATGGCATTGAGAAGTGCCATCACGCAGCCTTTGGGTTATTCAATGAGCTATCTGCTGTTTCAGCTGGGTTCTCGCTACCATATACATCTTTCAAACACATTATACCTTTGGCGTGTCCTTTCCGCTACTGAACAAATGTCAATATTCAGGAATGCTATTTTTTTTCTCTCCAAAACTAATGGAAATGTGCCGCAGGAACTAATCTGGAGCTGATTTATTGCCACGGTTAAGTTAATAAAAATAGCAAAACAGCCGTGACAGGGTTTAATGGAGTATTACGGGAAGACGAAGAGGAAGACAGACCGTTATGGCACGTCGGTGAGTTTGTTTAAAGCCCAGCGCCAAGGGCTTCGCCGACGTCTAAGATGTTTTTCTTTTCCTTTAATGCAGGGCTACAGGCGCGCAATTCCGAATGAATTTGCCCCGTTCGAGCTCGCGATCGTTTTTCTCCCTTCAACGAATCAGGCGCCGAATACCGAAGTTACTCGGGTGTGAGCGAAGGGCCCCGAAAGCAGCGAGAGGAATGTGGAGAAGCAGCGGCGGTGTGTATGTCACCCGCAACACTCGAGAAACGCACAAAAGTAACAACCGCAGCCTACAATTATAATGGAATGGAATGTTCTTGATTTCACTCGCACCACCAAAAACTCACGCTTAAATTATGACTTAAGCTGGATTTGAAAGTGATGTTGTAGGTGAACCCGTTTCGCCGAAACTAATGCTGACATTATTTTATTCTTCTCTATGATCCACTCCTACTGTAATTATAGTATTTATGAAGATTATAGAAGGATTATTGTACATGTTATTTGGATAATAAGAGGTGCTTTCTCCAAAAAGCAAACTTTTATCTTTTGGAATGGCCATTGAAAACCAACTGTCCTAGATTGTGTGCATTTTTATTTTTATTCGATGAATTCAAATATCTATAAAAATATTTATTTGCTAAATATTTCAAGATTTTCTTTTAGCTTTGAAAAATCTTGTGTTTCTGCGACCTTCATTACAATCGGTCACTGCAAAACCCCTCCTAAAATCTCCAGGATATTTTTTTCGCCATGTTGCAATCACAGAAGACATTTTGCGATGCCTACTGCTGAGTTTGACTCTGAACATCCATTTTCCATCAAAAATGAGCCAAGTATACAACACAGAAAGTTTCTCATATTACAGCTCAACTGTATTTTTCTTCAAAGCCCCTCCAAACTGAAAGAAAAAAAAAAAATTGTCGACATCCCAAAAAAAACTCCACCTGAACTCAGCTGAATCCCAAGAGCAGAAGGATGGCCGGAGCGGGACCTTTTCATTGGAACAGGACCAAGCGAAGAGAAGACAATGTTATTCCACTTATTGTGGTTTTCAGGCATCAATAAGAAGGCCTCTGTCCGCCGTTTATAGAAAGCGGCACTGTGGCACACAGGCTCTGCCTCAGTTTCATGCGGAGACGTTTTTTTACTCATTCTTTTAATTAATTTGTCTGACACTCTTATCCAAAATCCACTTACAGTACAGGAAAGGGTTAAAATTTATCTGTGTTCCCTGGGATTGGTGCCCACAACCATTGCGTTTTCAACATAATGCTTTACTTGTTGAGGTAACGGAACTGATACAGGCCTCCCTTTTAGTGGGCCAACTTCTCCAGAAGGACCAGGGCCTACAGGGAGCTCAGCCCCTGGATCAGTCACTCTGAAGCTAAGCAGGGAGCTACTGATGATCGCTGAGTTCATTACAGTTACTTCTGTAGACCATTTGGCAAGTCCTCCAGTATCCATGCAGTAAGCACTGGACTGTAATGCGTCTGTTGATCCTACACACTATCTCTGCTCAGTAATTCCTTTGCCTGAATGTATGAGCTGACCAAAGTGTAACCATTGCACTCTCATAGTATCCTTTTGTACTTACAAAGCATCAGCAGAACCATAATTACTTACCCGGCACGGTTTCCTCTGTAAAGCCATGACCAGTGAGGTCAAAGGTCGTCGGCCCTAGCAACACAACGCAAACCATTTGTGTATTAGCAGGAAAACAGCTATGGCACGGCCTTCGCCAGTGGGCTGTGGGGGTTCAAGAAACCACCACCCGTTGCTGAGCAGGTGTGTGCGTGAACAGGTGCTCGGGGGGGGTTGGGGAGGGACAGCTGATGCCAGCCACTCTAACTTAGGTCCCGAAATAACTGAGGCCTTTGAACAGTTGGGCAGATGGCTGTTGTTTTTTGACTTTTGCTCTGCTTTGTGGTTATATGAGTGAGGCAGGCTTGTCTTCAGCAGATAACATAAAGGAGCATTGATTCAACGGGACCTCTACTCTTAAGTCCTACCATCTCAGCGTGCCCAATGTGTCGTAGCATTCTTGGTGGCCCTGTCACCCCACCAAGCCTCATGGGGGAGGGGGGCAGGCGGCTCCAGGGTCTCTAGGAGTATTGAAATATTTGACTTTGAACTGTTCACAAGCCAACAGATGTGCTATTAAGTGTTGGGGCTTAGCCTGAGCTCCATATCCATGGCCCAGGATCCAGACACATCTTGATATACCGGGCCTCTGACCTCCAGCTGGGCCTGAGCGCTCAGCAAATCCATGCAAGGGGTTCTGGGATGTGCTATGGGGTGAAGTGACCATTGAGAGGTTATCTGTCTGGAGGACAGAATTAAAAAACAGAGCAAACCCTCGCGTGCAGCCTTGGCAGCTGTGCAGCGGGTGACTCGGGCGCACGTGTTGTTACGTAAAAGGGGACGGGGACTGGGGGGGCTGGGGGGCTGCGCCAGCGAAGTAGGTCACATTTCTGGGGTCTTTTCTTCCAGACAGACAGAGAATTCCAGGCTGCAACTGGAAGGACTTCAGTGGTGTGGTTTGGGTCGGCCAGCCGGCGCAGTATTTCAGGCATGGTGACAACTGCTGCTACTGTGGAGATGGGACAGGCATTAGCGACAGGCCTGGGTAAACAGGACAGCGTCCCCCAGAGGTCACCCATCCCACTGCAGGTTCCAGTCCTGCTCCCGTTCTCTTAGGTTGCATCCATAGTTTGTGGGTGAGTCCTGATCTGTCGGTTACATTTGGCTCTGAGTTCCCTGCTACTTTTGGCAGGCATGTGGATGAACACGTCCATAGGGCATCAGCATGAGCAGCGGCTGAAGTATTGAATCTGAAATTACACACCCCGCACACTTACGGCACGGACCCCAAGGCAAGACGAAAGCTGAAGGTATATGGTCCAAAAATGAAACCAATAATGGGTTTGACTCCGACCCAAAGAGCATGGCACGCTAAGAAAACCAAAACACATATGCTTAATTCAATTCATTAGTTCACAGCAAGGCATAAATTTCTGTGGCTTCGACATGGAAAAAAATAGGTCCTTTGGCATTTGGGTTGTTTACATCTTTCATTGAGCATGTTTGGCCAGCTGGAGTAAATCACTGCCAGCAGGCCGCTGTGGGAAACGGCGAGCGGACGTTTCGGCGTTTCCCATCATGCCCCGGGACAGTGCTTGTGTGCTTTTTTTTGTGGTCACAGCACCTCTGTCTGATGGTGGAGAGGGTTATGGGCCTTACCGCCGTTCCAGAGCTAAGCACTGCCGCGCCATCAACGGGGAAAGGTTCGACAAATCTCAGAAATACATGTCAGAAAATGTGGTCTTTCCTAGTTTCATGAGCTGTGGATGTTTTTTATTTTCATTTTTTTCAGCTGCAGGTGTTCCTTGGCAACCTGACGGAGAGATTCGGACTGCCAGATCTGGGTGAATTAGACCATACCAACAAATCGAGGAGGGGAAAAAAAACTTTAAGCCGATCGTAAACCGTTTAACTGAATGACAATTCAAAACAGATGCATGGTTGCGTTTTGGAAACAAAATAGAAATTTGTAAAGCTAAATCTCCGTGGAAGTGAAATCACGCATGTTCCCGTCTGCTAAATGTCTGTTAATATCTTCTTTAATCATGGCTTTTGTCTCATTATGTGCCATGTTGTAAAATTAGCCCTGTACCAAATTCATCCCAGTGGCATGCATCATATTCACATAAACAAGGGTAATGTTGTCTCAGGAAGCCCCCTAACCCCAGTTTTGCGCGTTGTGTATCTGAGATTCCAGCACTGGGATCAACTTCTTCGAGAATGGGAATGTGGTATGGTTGTGATTATGAAGTTAGCTGGACCGTCCTGGAGGCACATAAGCCCAACCCAGGGGTGTTTAGATTAGGGTTTCTTAAACCAGTCCTCAGGGATCCCCAGAGTGTCAGGCTGAGAGCCAAACATATGGACTGTCTGAAGGTTCCTGAGGACCAGGATGAGAAGCACTGGGTTAGATGACCCAGACAAGCAGCCCAAGTTCTACCAGCCTTGGTTCTCCGGGGCTTGTTCACACCTGGAGGAGTATTTTAAGACGCTGACCTCATCTCCACGTTAGGGATGTGCTTTTGGCAGCTACTTTCACGTCACCAAGGATGTGTGTGATTTCGCATAGTATTCATATCGTACTGCTGGTTTCTTCTGCTACAGTAAACCCATCTGGACTAACACCTCTCCATCTCTACAGTGGTCTGGTCTTAAACATAAAGGGACTGGACAATGAAACTGAAACACTGGCCAATGTAGTGCTTGAGGTTTCGCATATATATATGCAGTGGTACCTCAGTTCTCTAACTCATTAGAACTCAAATTTCTTAAAAGTCGAACCAGCCAGTTCGAAAAAAAATTACCTAGAACTCGACCTGAATCTCAGAAGTCAAACTGTGAACGGCGACCTAAAATAACTTGTACGCGCGGGGAAATGAGTCAGGCGGCACGTCTCTCATCGGAAACAAAGGGTAACGCTTCAGTCTCAGCCTTGCATTCGCTGTGATAGCACCGTGCATGTTTACACTAGCTTAATACAAATATTTAGACAGTAAAAATACATTTAGACAATGATAGACAATAACAGTAATTATTATAATATAATAAAATACATTTAAAAATAAAGATTTCTTATTCATTATTTTAATATTAATAATAAATCATTAATACATTTAATTATAATAATATTGTCGTGCCCAGAGGGACGGAACGGAGACAAAGTCACAGACATCAGGGTATCGGGGAATACGGGGTTTAATTACAGGTAAGGCAGGCAAAACGCAGACGGACAATACAATGACCGGACTGGGGAAACAAACTGAAACGTGGACGAAATACAGAGGACTAATGACAACAACCAGAAACAGCTGATCACATGGGGATCCCACACGGGGTTAACAAGGGGGGGGGGGGGGGGGGGGGGCACGCGGAAGGAGCGGACGATTGGGGCAGGACACATTGTTTGGATACATTTATTTTCTTACTTTACAAATTACTGTTTGATAAATGTGCTTAGATGTGTTTAGTACAGTATATGCTCTTCTTGTTTGATCCGGTTCATTTTGTGTTTTAATGTTTAAAAAAAAAACATATTTAGTTGTAATTTTTTGGGGCCAGGAACCAATTAATTGGTTTTCCATTATTTCTTATGGGGAAAATTCAATCACAACTCGAACTTTTTAGGATTCAATCCGGAGCTCTGAACGGATAAAATTCCAGTTCTGAGGTACCACTGTGTGTGTGTGTGTGTGTGTGTGTGTGTGTGTGTGTGTGTGTGTGTGTGTGTGTGTGTGTGTGTGTGTGTGTGCGCGTGACCTGGTGGCCAGTCTTCACTGATTGCGATTCTGTCCGTAAGAGCACAGTGTGAAGGTTGAATTAGTGGATCAATAGCACAGCGGTACATAAAATATTACAATCCATACAACATTATGAGAGACATATCAGAGTTCAAAAGAGGACAAATTGTTGGTGCGCATCTCACTGGTGCATCTGTGACCATGACGTCATGTCTTTGTGGTGTATCGAGAGCCACGGTATCCAGAGTAATGTTGCCATACCACCATGAAGGAAGGACCACATTCAACAGGAATAACTGTGAATGTTAGAGACTTACGGTGTGGAGAAGCCCCAAAGAGGCTTACCACCTAGACTGTTGCAAACCCCAAGTGAAACACAGGGGTGGATCAGTGATGGTTTGGGCTGGAATATCATGGCATTCCACAGGCCCACTAATTGTTCTAGATGGGTGCCTCACTACCAAGGACTACGGAGCCATTCAGGAGGACCATGTATATCCATTGGTTCAAACATTGTACCCTGAAGGTGGCGTTGGGAATCATGGCTGAACATCTCCCATGGCCTGCACAGTCACCAGATCTGAATATTACTGAGCCACTTTATGGTGTTTTGGAGGAGCGAGGCAGGAAACATTTTCCTCCACCAGCATCACATAGTGACCTAACAACTGTTCAATGACTCAAAGGCCCTCTCCACAGTATGGGACTTGTATCCGTCATTCTCAAGACAAGTCGATGCGGTATTGGCCACAAAAGCAGGTCCTACACCACACCATACTAATAAATTATTTTGGTCTAAAACTATTGGGACACCTGGCCATTACACCCATGCACATCAAGACGTCTTGGAGAATTCTATGCTTCCAACTTTTTCGGAACGGTTCATGGGAGGCCTTTTTCTGTTCCATCATGACTGCACCACAATGCACAAATCAAGGTCCATAAAGACATGGTTGGGTGAGCTTGGTGTGGAACAAGTTGACTGGCCTGCACAGAGCCCTGACCTCAACCCCATGCAACACCTTTGAGATTGACTGGAGATTGCAAGCCAGGCCTTCATGTCCAACATCAGTGCCTGAGCTCACAATGAATGTATGACCAAAACTCCCCACAGACACACTCCAAAATACTGTGGAAAGCCTCCCCAGAAAAGTGGCAGCTGTTATAGCTGCAAGGGGGGGACCAGCTCCATATTGATGCCTATGGAGTTAGAATGGGACGTCATAAAAGTTCCCCTGGGTGCAATGGCCTAGTGTCCCAATACTTTTGTCCATATAGTATATCTTGTTTTTTAGTGGAGAATGGCTCACTGCCTTTCGCAGTGAAACGGGAAGCTGCTTTACTGGAAGTCAGTCATCTAGCCGGTGTTTTTTTCAGAATGACTCAAGCGTCTTACCCAGACTCAGGCTGCTATATTGATTCAAGATTTAAGATTCAAAGAACTTTATTATTCCAGGATTCCAGGAGACAGGCAGTTACTCTAGAAGAGCTGGACAGAGCCGTAGAAGGTCCTTAACCCATCAGCAGGACCAGTATCTGCTCCTTTGTACAAGAATGAACAGGTTGAGCACTGCCAGAGCCCTAAATGACCTCCAACAGGCCACTGATGTGAATGTCTCTGAGCAAACAATCAGAAACAGACTTTATGAAGGTGGCCTGAGGGCCCGACGTCCTCTAGTGGACCCTGTGCTCACTGCCCGGCACTGTGGAGCTCGATTGGCATTTGTCATAGAATACCAGAATTGGCAGGTCCAACACTGGCACCCTGTGCTTTTCACAGATGAGAGCAGGTTCACCCTGAGCACATGTGACAGACGTGAAAGGGTCTGGAGAAGCCGTGGAGAATGTTATGCTGCCTGTAACATTGTTCAGCATGACCAGTTTGGTGGTTGGTCAGTGATGGTCTGGGGAGGCATATCCATGGAGGGACGCACAGACCTCTACAGGCTAGACAATGGCACCTTGACTGCCATTGGGTATCGGGATGAAATCCTTGAACCCATTGTCAGACCCTACGCTGGTGCAGTGGGTCCTGGGTTCCTCCTGGTGCCTGACAATGCCCGGCCTCATGTGGTGAGAGTATGCAGGCAGTTCCTGTAGGATGAAGGAATTGATACCATTGACTGGCCCCCATGATCGCCTGACCTAAATCCAATAGAACACCTCTGGGACATTATGTTTCGGTCCATCTGACGCCAACAGGTTGCACCTCCAAGAGCTCAGTGATGCCCTGGTCCAGATCTGGGAGGAGATCCCCCAGGACGCCATCCGTCGTCTCATTAGGAGCAGGCCCGATGTTGTCAGGCGTGCATACAAGCACGTGGGGGCCAGACAAACTACTGCCGCATCATTTTTTCCACTTTGATTTTCGGGGTGTATTTGTAGGTTGATAATTTTCATTTCCATCAAACTATGTGGCATCGTTTCATTCCTCGCACATTATCCAGTCCATATCAGTATAGATATCCAGCATGTTTTTTTTCCCTTTGAGATCTTCTGTGTTTTCAAAGTGTTCCTTTAATTTTTTTGAGCAATGTGTTTACGTACTGTATTTGTTTAGCAGAAGTTTTATCCTAAGCAATTGAGAAACCAGTCGGCCAGTTCCCAGAGCAAGTGTAGGTTAAGAGCCTCACTTAAAGACCCAACTGTGAAATCACTCTGCCAACCCTGGGATTTGAAGCAGTGCACTTCTCATTACAGGCACAGCAAACGATTCCACTGAGCCCTGAGTCCTGTTCATTCACACCGCAGGCACGTCTTGGTTCAAGCTCAGTTCCATCCATTCATCCATCCATTTCCTATACCTGCTTGTCCTATGTAGGGTCGCAGGGCTCTGGAGTCTATCTCAGAACTTACGGGGCACAACCCAGGATGGGGAACCAGCCCATCGCAGGGACTTCAGTTTCATTAGGAAGCTATTTTATGTTTCTAGAGGTGGGAAAAGACTCGGCCAGAACACAGAGCTCCAGTTGGGATCTGACCACTGCACATTCCCCATCTAGACCCCCATAGTCTTGACCTCATTTACATCTACACCATGGAGAGACAGAGACCTCCACGTGGCATGCACTGGACTGGGCTGCCAGAACCCTGCCAGTATGCGGCCTTAAGTCACACTCCGAACAAATAATCCCCAGC